GGGAGCTCCACCGAAGGCGCCAGTGAGAGGGTTTGCATGGCGGCCTCGGGCCATTTCGGCACACCCCTCACGAGGATCGTGGACCCATAAAGGGAGCTCCACCGAAGGCGCCAGTGGCAGGGTTCGCATGGCGGCCTCGGGCCATTTCGGCACACCCCTCACGACGATCGTAGACCCATAAGGGAGCTCCACCGAAGGCGCCAGTGGCAGGGTTCGCATGGCGGCCTCGGGCCATTTCGGCACACCCCTCACGAGGATCGTGGCCCCATAGGGAGCTCCACCGAAGGCCCCAGTGGCAGGGTTCGCATGGCGGCCTCGGGCCATTTCGGCACACCCCTCACGAGGATCGTGGCCCATAGGGAGCTCCACCGAAGGCGCCAGTGGCAAGGGTTCGCATGGCGGCCTCGGGCCATTTCGGCACACCCCTCACGAGGATCGTAGACCCATAGGGAGCTCCACCGAAGGCGCCAGTGGCAGGGTTCGCATGGCGGCCTCGGGCCATTTCGGCACACCCCTCACGAGGATCGTGGCCCCATAGGGAGCTCCACCGAAGGCGCCAGTGGCAGGGTTCGCATGGCGGCCTCGGGCCATTTCGGCACACCCCTCACGAGGATCGTGGCCCCATAGGGAGCTCCACCGAAGGCCCCAGTGGCAGGGTTCGCATGGCGGCCTCGGGCCATTTCGGCACACCCCTCACGAGGACCGTGGCCCCATAGGGAGCTCCACCGAAGGCGCCAGTGGCAGGGTTCGCATGGCGGCCCCGGGCCATTTCGGCACACCCCTCACGAGGATCGTGGCCCCATAGTTGTGCTGCTTCAACAACCGCGCCTGGGCGTCGTACTCCGCCTTGTCGACGTGCAACGCCACCTCCTCCCTCATGGCTCTCAAGGCCCTTTCCTGCTTCTGCTCCTCGGTGAGAGGGACGCCGTCCTTGTCGTCGTCGGCGCCCGCGAAGACGGCCACGAACGTGTCCCTGAGCATGTCGGGCTCCGGCGGGAAGCCGTGGCCACATAGGGAGCGCGGGCGAAGATGGTATTCACAATTGCGGTATTCACAATTGCATATGGTTGGGTCTTTCGCCCGGATAATTTTTTGTAGGCCCAGGTCCCAAAACGGGCTTCCAGCCATCAGCGGAAAGAAAGGCTCTAATCCTGTTGAGCTTCCATGTGGGAAGGTATGTGCTGATGCATGTTCCCCAGACGGCTCGTTTGTAAGAGGTAGGTGTGCCGCCACGGCGAGAGTTGCCGCCCCCAGGTCCGAAACAAAGTGGCCCTTGGCATTCCAGATCGGTCTGCCGTCTGGTCTCCCGTGCGGTTTCCCGTCAGATTTCCCGCGCGGCCTCCCGCATGTTCCCAGGAGGGAAAAAACACAGACACAATCCATCGTCGATTCCCCGGAAAATATGTGAAGTGGGGGGGGGGGGAAGGCGAAAACTCAAAACACAAATGGGAATATATAAGGAATCCTGCTATTTGTGTGTATATGTCTGTGTGTGTGCCCTTGGGCCCCTGCGTGTTCTCCCGCCTGGCGCCCTGACTCCGGATCCGCCCTACTTTGGGGAAATTCATAAGTAGGGCTTGGAATTACTTTTCTGGCCCCGCTGATGCCAATTTCCGCCCTACTTTTCTGTCGCTGTTTCCGCCCTACTTCTGTGGATTTCCGCCCTACTTTATGTTGGGTGCCACAATTTCCGCCCTACCTGTCCGGCTTCTCATAGGTGGATTTCCGACGCCATTTGAAGCTGGAAAAAAAAGCCAAAGCAGGGCGGATCTGGAGCCACGGCCTCCCCTGAGATCCGACGTTGCAAAAATTGCAACATCGCCAAAATCTCGCCCGGAGACCCGGACCTCCCCCTCACGCTTCGTTTTTTTCGTTTTGTGCATGGTTTCTCTGCCTCGTGTGCCTCCGAGCGGCGTGCCGACGCGGGGCGCTCCTGCCGCGCTGCGGCGGCCGGCTCCCTGCGGACTACCCAGACCCCCTCGCGTCGTGAAAAAATCACGACGGGTTTTTTTTCGCTACTCTCGGCTTCAAGGGGCCCTCCCCGGGCCTCGGGACCGTCAAAAACCGATTCGGGATGAAGAACCGGTCCCGGGGAAGAGGTCGACGAGACCTCTGGGGGTCGACGTCATGAAAAAATCATGACGTCGGGGGTCTGGGTATCGGGCGACGCCGATGAGAGCCCCGGGCGACCGCGGCGTTTGCGCGCTCTTCTTTTTTTTGTTCCGCGCACCGTGGCCACGCGCTGTCTTCCAGTAGTACCACGTCACGGCCCCTGGACCGGCGCGAAGAGCACGACGCAGAAACACTGCGCGAGAACACTACACGTGCTGACTCCACGCGGAAGCGCTACGCCCCTCCAGCACGTGGAACACCACGCGAGTACACTACGCAGATGCACTACGTGGCGCGTCCCCTTTCGTGCCAAAGTGCGGCGCGGCACAGCGCAGTGGAGCACGACACAGCCCTCGGCACAGTAACGTCACCACGGACATCTTCAGCATTGCCGCTGCCCATCGCCCGATCGAGGTGCTTGGCAGCGTCCCCAGGCCTCGCAGTTCGGAATCCCTTCCCGAGTTCGTGGTGCAAGCACGGAAAGCAATACGCGAAAACATTACGCGGAATGCCAATTCCACGTGACAACATTATGCCCATTCGCTACGCGAAAGACACTCCGCGAAAGACGCAACGCAAGTACACTACGAAAATACATTACGCACAGATTCTACGCAAGTACTCCACGCAAGACGGCGACGCCAACGCCTTACACAAAAACACGACGCAAATATACCACGCAGTAGCACTACGCAAAAGCACTACGCCGAAATACTACGCAACAACACTACGCAAATAACACTGCGTAACACACACGCACACACTCTACGCACAAACACAACGCGGAAACACTACGCGCTAACTCCACGCGAAAACATTATAGCCATCGCTACCGGAAACAAACTACGTACATACATAACGCAAGTGCGCTACGCAAATACATTACGTGGCGCAGGGGAGCACGACACAGCCCCCGGTACAGCAGCGTCACCACGGACATCTCCAGCATTGCCATTGCCCATCGCCTGATCGAGGTGCTGGGAAGCGTCCCCAGGCCTCGCAGTTCTGAATCCCTTCCTGGGTTCGTGGGCCGATCAAGGAAACGCATGACTCGAAAACATTTCGCGGAAAACTAACTCCATGCGAAAACGTGCCGACGCATTCGCTACGCGACATACATTACGCGAAATACACTACGCAAATACATTTAGGCAAATGCACTACGCAAGTACACTACGCAAGTATGCGACGCAAGTACTCCACGCAAAACGGCGACGCCAGTGCCCTACATGTAAACACTACGCAAACGTACCACGCAGGTGCTCTACGCCGAAAGACTACGCCAAGACATAGTGCAAACACACTGCGCAAAAACACTGCGCAAATACACCACGTAAACGCACTGCGCGAACACGCTACGCTCAAACACTACGCGAAAACACACCGCAAATACACTACGCAAACACATCACGCAAGCACACTACGCAAACACGGTACAACATTGCGCAACAACATTGCGCAACAACATTGCGCAACAACATTAAGTGGAAGCACTACATAAAGAACTACGCAAATCCACTACGCAATTACATTACGCAAATGCACTACGTAAATACACGGCGCAAATACACGACGCAAATACACTGCTTAAACACACTACGGAAATACATTACGTAAATACGCTACGTAAAAGCATTGGGCAGTTTATTTCACACTTAGGCGCAACTCTCACTACACACGTTCTCCCGGATGGTCTTCCCTGTGGTCTCCCGCATGGTTTCCCGTATCCCCTATGGTCTCCCGCATGGTCTTCCGTATGGGACCCCGTAAAGTTTCCCGCATGGCTTCCCGTACTGTCAAAAACCCGAATAAGGACGCGCGGGTTTTTGCTCAGGCTACCTTTGCGTCCTTGCTCTTCCTTGCTCTTGCGTCCTTGAGGTTTTCGTCGTCCGCCGCCCCAAAAATCCCAACTTCGGCTTCCAAGGGTCTTGCGTCCTCACCGCGCGTCCTTATTAGGGTTTTTGATGGCATGGTTTCCCGCATTGTTCCCCG